CCCTTCACTCAATAACTTCACAATATCTTGTTTCCTCTTTTAAAGCCACGTCATTCTTAGAACTCATGGTAATCTTTATATAAGTCTGAAATTGCTAAAACTAACAAAAACTTTATTTCGCCCTCCCCCCCCCATACCGTCATCTAAACTATTTCGCCAAAAAAATTTTTTGAAGATAAGCAGATAGAAAATAAAATTAAGCGTTCAGTTATCTTGTCTCTACTATAAGTTTCATTGAATTAAGTCCATTTTTCAATTTTTCCTCAAGCCTTGGGTGGTAACCGGTCCAGGAGAAGGAAAATTCTGAATTCAGAACCTCCACCTACGGTTTAAATAACCTCACTAGTCCGCAATTAGCCAAGCGTGGTGGGTATGGCGACATTCCTGAAGACATGGGCAGTCAGAGAGATGAGTAAGAAGGCCCGAAATCTGGATCTGTTCCAATGATCTTTCATCTATGTGACTTTTTTTTCTAAAAACATGATGGTAAAATTGATTTTCTTTTTCAGAAATCATATTTTCCTGAAACAATGCTGTTCTATTTGAATTTATTCTTCCTTAAAAGACATTTCTTTATGGTTTATACTCACTTGAATTGGTTCGTTAAAAATAAATATCAGTAACTATAATGTTATGTATATTTATTTACAATTTTACGAAGAAGCATTGACTTACATGAGAAAATACCATAAATAAGTTATTGAAACTATTTGTAATAAAAGTGAATTCACAAGATAAATTTAGCATATAAACATATCATGAAAATTTTGGTTCATAAGAATTTTATTGTAAAAAAACCTGACGTCGATAATAAAATATGAAACTACTGTTGACTTGCGAGACTGGCGTGGTTAGATTATAGGCAAGAGCCAAGTTTTTATTATTTACCAGTTCGGTAGACAACGCTCGCTGACTGCAGATCTAATTTGTTTGCTTATTTGCAATAATATTGAAAATATATTCAGTTTAAATATAGAAAGAGATATTAAAAAAAAAAAAAACAACTTCAAAGGACCGGCTTATACTTTTTTTGCTGTTACCCAGGGTTTCTTGGCAAAGAGAAGGAAGAATGAGCCATAGTGACACGAATAAGCATTTTAATTTCATTCAAATTGTATATATATATATATATATATATATATATATAAGGAAAAAACTTAATTCGTCATCATATAATCGGTTATGAATTTATTTCAACAGTCATGTATATATATATATATATATATATATATATATATATATATATATATATATATATATTATAGAAATGGACAAAGTCCGACAATTTATTTATTAAAGACATTTTTATGTTTAACGTTCTTTTTATTATAAACAGCATTTACTTAAATACTTGTATCTATAAAAAGAACGTTAAACATAAAAATGTCTTTAATAAATATATATATATATATATGTGTGTGTGTGTGTGTGTGTGTGTGTGTGTGTGTGCGTGTGCCTCATGAGACCGACTACATTTTATTAAATGATATAAATTCAGTCAGACAATTTGATATCAAATTGTCTGGGTGAATTTATATCATTCATATTATCTTTTTATTTAAATTGCTATGTAATTAAATGCATATATTGAGCTCGCATCATGGTTAACTTTTTAATATTTTCATATTAAAAAAGACCTCATTGAATAATCCCTATCACCTACAGGATTTGATATATATATATATATATATATATATATATATATATATATATATATATGTATGTATATATGTATGTATATACATAGACTAGAAATCCAAATTAACCTCATTCGAATAGCTATTTCAACCAAGAAGAAGACCTATATTGGCATTGTCAATACAAAAGTTGACAATGCCAATATAGGTCTTGTAATTTATATGCTTTGTTATACTAAATACATTGAGCTCTTTTTGTGAATCAGTTTTAATATTTTATATTATTAGGATTCAATTTGATTATATACCAAAGGATTATTACCAGTGTATATATATATATATATATATATATATATATATATATATATATATATATATATGCGCGGAACTTAGTGGAAAGTGTTCAATATCCGTGATAGAGCTAACATATTCAGTGGTATGGATATTAGATTGTAATCAGGGTTTCACGCTTTTGCGATCATCAGACAAACTGGTTTATTTTTTCCAAAACTGGATCTATTTATGCTTATTTGTGTTTGATTATTTGTGTGTGGTGGAGTGGGGGTGGTCTTCTGTGTTCGTTTGGGTTGACACTCTCACCTACATACAGGTGTATGCATTTTAGTTTATACAAACACACTCATATAAATAATCTGAGGTTAGATGCACTTATATACGCAATTGTCATTCTATTTCGGTGTCAAGATTGTAGCGTTACATATGTAGCAATGTTTCCTTAACAGGTAACGAGCGGGGGTGGGGTCTGGACGTTTTTCAGATCGGCCGCCAGCGCCGTCAGACATGCTCACACATACACACATATATGTAGACGCGTACCAACACCCATTGATCTGGATCCACTATAACTACGTTGCTTAAAACGAAACACTATATAAAATGGCCGGCTACTTCCCCACCCCCGGAGTACAACAATCACTGTTGCAGATGGTTGCACGGGTATATTTGTGACTATTCAAACACCACAGATTCAGACTATAGTTTATATTGTGACTATGCTGACCACAGTATAGTTACGTAGCGTATAATCTATCGTGATCAGCAGTTTGAGTTTGAGCATCGGCAGTACTATATATATATATATATATATATATATATATATATATATATAGAGAGAGAGAGAGAGAGAGAGAGAGAGAGACGATCTACCTCCGATATTGAGCAATCTACTTCTATAAATATAAATTTCACATATATACATATATTTTTTATAACGTTATTTTTAATTGATATCCATATTTGACTAGACGCCCCATTTTTATTTTTGAATAATATATTTATTATCATCTACCAATTTGAGAACATTTGAGAGATCGTATAACATAAAAATATGTGTTGGATACCAACCTGCGACCTCCTTGTTAGAAAAACTGACTCAGACACGAAGAACATTGCAGACCTCGTGAGACTGATTTGTACCTTTAAGCGAAATCTTGTCATGGATTCCCGAAATTTCATACTTGCTCAGTTTCGTATACAAACGTCAAAAAAAGCAATTTCAAAAGAAGTATTTTTTTTATTTATTAATCTGAAAGATTTTTATCCTAATTTTTAGTAGACATTCGGTTTTTATTTTTAAACAATATATTTATTATCGGCTACCGTCTTGATTGGTAGTGTCCTTCGTAGACGAGTCGGTATAAGAACGTCGGTTCAAACGACAAGGAAGACGCAGGTTCGGATCCTCGCGGAGGGCCCATATTTTACTTCAATATTCAAACCTGGTTGACAATAAAATACTGTTTAAAAATAAAATGAAACTTCTACTGAGATATGGATATCCACTGATAAAATCTGTCGAATTTATAAATAAAAATCCATTACTTCCTCTCTCACCCACATATATATATATATATATATACGTGTGCCTTACACATGGGTTCTTGCCTAACACAAAGTATCTTGACTGAATATTCATCCACAGACAAATTCTTTCGCTGTATCACAGATCCTCAGTGTGACTAGACGTCCGATTTCTTCAAGCCGGGATCGAAACCCGACTGATTTGTCAGATATCTTACCTCTAAGCCATTGTCGCACGGCAGAAAGGAAGGAAATTTTGAGGTTTTTCTTTATACGAAATACGCCAGCGGTTCGGAGAACTCAATTCAACTTATTTGAACATATATATATATATATATATATATATATATATATATATATATATATATATATATATATATATATATATATATATATATATATATATATATATATATATATATATATATATATATATATATATATTATTTCCCATTCGTCATTAATTCCTTCTTCACAACTAATTACCTATGACCTTGATTTATCAGGAAGTTGTGAAGGGCCATGATCGCATATGTTGTGATGAGATACAGCGCATATAATAAAAGTTTGTATTCAAACAGAGTTGATTCCAACACTGTAACCATTAAGCCAGACATAATATTCTTCTTCACAGTTTATATAGACATTTTAAAGTCGTTAAACTGGGCGCCAGATGGAAGGGCTTGGGTTTTGTATTAAATATTTTAATTTGTATTTGCAAAAATTTTAATAATTATTCTCAGGTGATATTGTGTATCATAGAAATTTCGACTCACATACCAGCCCCCAGCTATAACGACTGAGCTAATCAAACAAGCTCATCTCACCTGACTTATTTAGCGGGCAGTGATACCTGTTTCGTTTTCTTTTTCTTTTCTTTTTTTTTTTTTTTTTTTTTCAAATAAATTTTGATGACTTTACGAACTAATTAAAGATGACGTCGTCCAATCCGTTTGTCGTCTGGGGTGTTTTTGAATTCTCTCTCGTTGGGGAGGGCAAAAAGGCGGGAAGTGTTTGTTTGGTTCTGTGTCGGTCGGCGTTTTTCTTGTCGTCCTTTGATTTCTATATTTGTTTTGACATGAAGGGAAGTTGGCGCGCGAAAAAAACAGCGACAGACGTATCAGCTGTTGAATAGACGAAGATGACGCGGCAAGCAACAACTGAAATTAAAAGATTTCGCCCGGAAATCAGTTAAGATGACAGTTCAGTCATTTTTCAATTCATTTATTCATTCTTTCTTCGATTTTTGTTCTCGTATTTTTTATGTTACGAACTTTTCTTATGAAATCAAATTTCTTTCCTTTTTATTCAGTTCTGCTTTTCATTCTTCAGGCTTTCTAAAGAAAATCAACCTCTTACATCATTTATAGTTTTTCCATTTTCTCTATTTTTCTGTCTTGCCATCGTTTCTCGAGTTCTTATAAACATTTTGTTGTTGTTTTTTATTCCTTGATTCTTTGACTTTCAGATTATTTCAGTTTCCTATATTAGCTTCACTTTGACTTCATTCTTTCTTTATTTTTCCTTTCTATTTTCCCAGTCATGTCTTTTTCTTTCTTTCTTTCTTTCTTTCTTTCTTTCTTTCTTTCTTTTCTTTCTTTCTTTCTTTCTAGTCATTCTTTATTTATTTATTTATTTACAAATTTTTTCCAGTTGTTTTTCTCATTTCTTTCTTTCTTTCTTTCTTTCTTTCTTTATTTATTTATTTATTTATTTATTTATTGTCATTCTTTCTTTACTTATTTTTGCGGTTGTTTCTTTCATTTTAGTCATTTCTTTCTTTCTTTCTTTCTTTCTTTCTTTCCATTCATTCATTCATTCATTCTTTTTTCTTTCTTTATTTATTCATTTTTCCGATTTCAGTCATTTCTTTCTTTCTTTCTTTCTTTCTTTCTTTCTAGTCATCCTTTATTTATTTATTTACAAATTTTTTCCAGCTGTTTTTCTCATTTCATTCTTTCTTTCTTTCTTTCTTTCTTTCTTTCTTTCTTTCTTTTTTCTTTCTTTATTTAATTTTCCGATTGTTTCTGTCATTCAGTCATATCTTTCATTTTTTCTTTCTTTCATTTTTTATCTTTCTTCCTTCCTTTGCTATGTCAGAAATTTTTTTTTCTTTATCGTTGTCTTTTAACATTTTATCTTTTCTTTTTTCCTTTCCTTTATTGCATTTTCTTCACAGCCTTCTTTTTCCTTTCCAAAATTATATTTTCCTGATTTTCATTTTCATTTTCTTTCTTTCTTTCTTTCTTTCTTTCTTTCTTTCTTTCTTTCTTTCTTTCTAGCTGTTCTTTTTTCTTTCTTTCTTTCTTTGCTTAATTAATAATATATTCGTTTTACTTTTTTGTGTACCATTACTTCTTTTCTTCCCTTTCTTTCTTTCTTTCTTTCTTTCTTTCTTTCTTTCTTTCTTTCTTTCCTTCTTTCTTTCTTTCCTTCTTTCTTTCTTTACCTGATTACAGGTAATCAGTTGATAGATAAAAGACATACTGAAGAAGTAATTCAATGACACTCACCGATGCCAACGCTGACTCATATTGCAACAAGCTTTTTCATTACGGAAGGGATATCCCGCCTTTGGTATTTTGTTGCTGATGACTCAGAACTTCCCAATGCCCAATGCTTACTACTACGGACTGATCAACCAATCAGGATTAAGAAATACAACTTTGATCAAGCAAAAACTATCAAATATAAAAGTACAAAACTAAATAAAAATAATCCATTGGAACATCTCCAGTCGAAATCATTTTGTGTAAAACGATTACGAAAATAAATTCGTTGACATTCAGATATTTGAATATAGTAAATAAAATGTCAGAAGTCCATGTTGACAAACTTTCATTTTTGATTGGGGCCTGTTGCGAATTCTAAGCAGATAGATGACTTTAAAGTTATATGATTCCCATTTGAAGATCCCTGTTTAATATTCCTAAAATGTCTAAAGATTATTTTGAAGCTGGATTTGTTATTTTTTTTTATTTTCTTCCCACCTCTTATTCTAACCACAGCACAGAAAAATTCGAGTTATTATATATTGTAAAACGTTTATCGAAATGTCTAAGATATGACAAATTGAATTATATAATTTGAAAATAAAATATGTCTGTTAATCTGTCTTTCTGTATGTCAATATATCTGCCAATACTTCCGGTTTTCATTTTATAAAAATGAAAAGAACTGGCCGAGTAGCTTTTACTATTAAAAATTAATCACAGAAAAGACTCATGTAATTTTGCCCCTTGAGAACAGGATACATGGTTATTCATATATTTAAATAAAACCACAGCAATGTCAGATTAAATAAAAGATTATTCACATATGAATTTAGAGACGTTTAATAAAAACAAAAATAAGTTTATAGATTTTCTATAATTTATTAAGAGGAAAACCAAAATTCTTGCGGGAATTTCTCCTCTGTTATAATGATTTTTCTCTAGGCTTTACTTTCTACATCACTTTGAAAATGAAAGAAAAAAACAACAACAAAAAGCGTTGTTAGTGGCTAAATACTGGCTTCAGCAATTCATATAACAATTTCCAGTTTTAAGTTTATTTCCAACTTAAAAGAGAGATCGTACAAGCTTTTATTAACACAACTATCATGAAATTACAATTTGTTTTTATTTCTGCCACTCGAATAAAAACGTTGTTTACATATGTTGACATTTATTTGCATCATCATCTGAACATTACATATACCCGAATTTTTGTTCAATAAATAAAATTCACGAATATTGTTGAATATGTATGAAGTGGGAGTGCGTAAATTAATAAAATCTTTACATGAATTTATATATACCATTATATATATATATATATATATATATATATATATATATATATATATATATATATATTTTTTTATGTTTATACTTTAGGCACGCTGCAGACATAAGAGAAGGTCCTTCTGCTACAGCTACAATGAGGAGGTGCAAACTAGAGGAAAATGAACCTTAATATCCCAGTATGTCAAGAGGTTTGCAACAATAAATCAAAATAACATTACTCTGAAAATATTTTCATACCCACCTCTTCAAGCGGTTAGCCAATTCCTTTACTTGCAAAATATACAGATTCCAAGATATACAGATCCTAATAAATAAATAAATAAATAAGACGCCTATGTATGAATTGGCACAACGCAAAAATTATGGCGATTTAGGATATGAGAATATAAATATGTTCTATTAAATAAAATGCACAGATAATGCCGACTGAACCTTTTGGCGGATTTCTCTTGGAATCGAAATCGTCACTAAAAGCCTCAATTGGCATTATACTTGTCCATTCTGTTTTATTACGCCGGTTCAAATGAAGGATTGCTGCAGAAATATTGAAATATAAATAGATGTATATTTTAAGACATTTTTTTATGTTTATACGTTCTTTTTATTGATACAAATATTTAAGTATAATTTATTTTTATAGATACAAATATTTAAGTAAATGCACTGTTTATAATAAACAGTATTAACAACATTTACCGGTCTGAACATCCGAGAAATTTCATAGAAAATATGCGTCCTCCGACCTTGCTAACCGAACGCTCCTCTGTGGCCCAGTCGGTTAAGGCACGTCAGGCTATATGACGGTTCCGTATAGGAGAGACGTTCGTTTCCTGTCCTATATATTTTTACTCGTCAATGATTCAACTCAACAAACATACAGCAAATAAATTTATAAAGTCGGCATAAATATAGCAATTTTTAACTACACACACAGCACAAACACACACACACACACACACACACACACACATATTATGAGTATTTTATTTTTTCCCTTTAATAATCAAACATACATTTATTTACTAGTTTTTGACTAGATGTATTGTTTATTTATTTATTTTCATCTACTGGCCTAAACATTCGAGAAATCTGATTTTAAAAAATGGGTGTGTACATGGGATATATCACAGTATCCGAAGCAAAAGTCAAGATGAATCAAAGTGGAAACTTTATTAACGACGCGTTTCTCTGAGAGCGCCTGCTCTCTTTGACTTCCTCAGGTTAGAATGTGTGAGGAAAATGTCTTGATTTGTGATTCCAACGATGAAAATCAAATTAAATTACATTACCTTATGACTTTGAATCAGGACATTAGCAGGGGATAAGGTAATGTAATTTAATTTGATTGATGATTTTCACTTATCGTCAGAGACCCAAGGCAGTTTACTCACATACAAAAAGAGCATAGGATCTCGGTGAAGCGTGTCGTTTATAAATTTTCCAGTTTATCATATCATCTCCATATATATATATATATATATATATATATATATATATATATATATATATATATATATATGGTGAACTCTCCTGTCGTATTCGACGTATGAGGGTCAAGAAACATAGTTCCTAGGAACCGACAGCCCAGACACAAGCACAAACGATTTAATTATAGTGGTGAAGGCTTTGTGCAGAACCATCCACACGTTTTGAAGGCCTGAATACAGAGACCTGGTGCACTACGTGCCACAAGGTCCCCAAACGACCCTCCACAGGTTTTGAATTCAGAGTTGCCCTTCTCCCTAGACCACTTACCATTCAAGGCTATAGAACCCAGTCTGTCCTGCTATTTTACCCATAGCTGGAGGGAGAAGAAGAGGATTAATACCATCCCCAAGGGTATTAGCACGTAAGTGAATGTAATGGAGGAAGTACGGTGGAGTAGTGGATAGCGTCTCGGAATCAATAATCGGAGAGCCGAGTTCAACACACACACACACACACACACACACACACACACACACACACACACACATATATATATATATATATATATATATATATATATATATATATGTATTCCCTTTAGTGGTGGTTGTATATATATACATATATACATGTATATATGTATATATATATATATATATATATTCCCTGTAGTGGTGGTTGTATTAATTTAAGATAGTGGGTTAAGCCATGTAAAGAGAAAATATGTATGACTTAACTGTTGGTCATATTAGCATCTAACAAGACCTACTAACTATGGAGACGTCAATAGGCGTCAACTTTGATCAAGGATTGGCTATAGATAGTGGATCTGATAGCAACAGGAGTCACCAGAAGCTTCGGACCTAAGGGAGGCAAATATCAGTGTAACATCATTGCTGTTAGAATTTGAAGACGACTCGACAATAAGTGAATACATGAGGAGTAGCAGAAGAAACTAAGCCATGACACTTTGTCCAAAGTAGAATCTATGATGTTGATACCAATCTCTTCAGAAGATAAACAATGAAACGTGGAACTTACACCGAGTTACAGATACAGACCCCGAATACAATATAATTCTGTGAGAAGGAAGAGAAAAAGGTATTTACATTTGTTTTTACGGTATATCTTAAAATTTGTATTTCATTGGATGCCTCCATTTCATTTTATACCAATGTACAAACCAGATTGCGTTATCACGCGTGTGCACACACAGACACACGTATATATATATATATATATATATATATATATATATATATATATTAAAAATGAAAAACAGACTACTTTATGGCTCCATTGTAATAATTTATTTCATCAGAGACGTTTATTTTTCCCTGTATCTTCAGACTTCACTTTCAAAGATGAAACGAAAAATGAATTTAAAATTTACACTTTCGACAGGCAGTATTAAGTTTATATAAGTTGAATTAGAGGGTGATGAGGAATGGTGTGAGAGACATGGTCGAGCTTAGAGAGTGAAGGGAGAGTTTAAAATTTATCTTTATATTTCTTTTTATTATAATATTTAATATTGAGGAAGAAGGGGGTAAGAATCAGACATTGACCTATTTAATTGGTCAATTTAACGGAAATGTTATGGGAAAAGGAAGAAAAGAAGAAAAAAGGGAAAAAGAAAAAAAGCGAGGAAGTATATACTCCACACCGGTAGTACGACTCAACACGAGTGAGCAAAAATATGTATATTTTTTTTTTATTAATATATACTTTATAATTTAGTTATATTGCATCGAGCACTATTTTATTAACACCAGCGCTCAATGTGCAATATTCATATATATATATATATATATATATATATATATATATATATATATATATATATATATATATATAAATGGTGGTCTCCCGTTGTATTCAACGCATGAGGGCCAGCACCAGCTCATATTTTTGATTATAGTGGGGAAGGCTTTGTGCAGAACCAACCACACTTTTTGAAGGGCCAAATACAGAGACCTGGTGCACTACGTGTCACAAGGTCCCCAAACAACCCTCCGCAGGTTTCAAATTCAGAGTTGTACTTCTCCTAGACCAGTTGCCATCCAAGGCTATAGAACCCAGTACGCAAATAAAATATTATTATCTACATTACATAAAAATATATATTATCACATAAAAAAATCATTAGCAACAACACCAACAACATCAACTCGTTTTTCGTTTTGTCGATCGAAAAATTACGTCACTTAGTCTTCCATGATTTATCTTTGTTTACA